ACCATGGAGAACCTGGAAGCACTGGATGGCCGTTTCGTCCTAGTATGGGACTCCTTAACAGTGTGCATTCACGATCCCGCCGTCCAGTGCTTCCAGGTCTTGACTCATGATTTCAATCTGTGATATTACAAATATATTAATTTATTGATAACACTCTATCCAATACACAATATATTCGAAATTATCAAATCAAACCTTGGTAATGATACCTACAAACTATAACTATAGCAAAATTGAACATTCAGAATCTGATTCTTGATTACATCATAAGTGTACACTATCAAACAAAACAATCACAATCATTACTCTATCTTCAAAAAGAAAATCAATAGAATTGTGACATTTATATTGAATGTGTTATTCACATAGAAAAAACAAGATAGGAATATTATAGAATAAACATATAAACAATGTATTATATAAGTTAATGTATTGTCTTTTATCTAAAAAAAGATATATATGTATAGTTTACTTCTTTCATCTTTTGTTTAACTCACATAGAAATAAAAAATAAAAAAATTAAATGATGTTCATACATATTTACCCATGGTTACTAATCATTGATATTTTAGAAGAAAACAAAATAAGTCATAAAAATTGTTGAGACTATTCATCATCAGTTATATTCTGTTTTATGATAGAAATAACTTAGACTATAAATATTGACATATTTCTTCTTTGGTTTTCTTTTTTTTTGTCTCTTGGAATACTATTTGTCTATGTTTAGATTGATTGCTATAAAGTGATATATAAGTTTACGGTGTATATATCAAATGTAAACTTATTACATTTAGTAACAAATTTCGAAAAAACAAAAAACAAATAAGAAGTGTCACATTGTAAAAGCAAATTAAAATGCTCAAACGAGTTAGAATGATATTAGATTATCAAAAATCAATAATTGTAAACCTTTTCTTCATTTATATTGGTCTTTTAAATATTCTATTTGATGTTGAAGACTAAAAATGATCAGTCTATTTTGATATATGGACATCTTGTATCGACTGTCTTGATATTACCTTAGGTTATTGTTATACCCCGATAAGAATAATGAATAGTAATTCTTGGGATCTGTTTATGGACCAATGCTATGAGTATATCTTTATCGTATAATTGTTATGTAACTAAACTGTTCATGTTCATATCCCTCTTATTATGAGTTTTATTTTGACCTATGAACTATTGTTATACGATTTACCATTTTTGAATTATTCTCTGTCTATTAATCACTACCTCCCTCATTCACAGCTACTTCTGTACAAATATTGTACAAATGTTGTTTCATATTTTATGGCACGTTGTGGTCTGTTTGATCGGTATATAAACAAAGTATGTTTGAAATACATGATTTATATTGCAGAGGCTGAGATTGGTGTTCTGGACTTAACTGGCTTGGGCTAGACAGGAAGCGAGACCAGTCAGGACTCTAGGCTGCTCGCACGTGTTTTATGCATCACTGGTTCGATTGATAATTCGCTGCTCTCTGATTGGCGGTGTCGTTGCATTATCCAATATACAGGGTACACAGGTTCACAAGTTATAACAGTTACAAGTATTTTGACGGTGACATTCAGGAAGCATGTTTCGTTCAGCTTGGGACTCATTAGCTGGATGTACCTGATTCCCATAGTTGATGTTCAACTCGGGACTGATCAATTGCTGTCTTAAACGTCTATGAAAATATTCAAAAACCCAATGTTAAAATGAATTTAAATTCGGTCGATTACACAAGCCAGTAGTTATATGAACTCACGAGCTAATCGGATAACATGATGGCGTTTGAAATGAAAGGTTTTTTGTTTGAGTCGTGAAGTGGACATCAACTTTGTGATATTGGTGCGCCCATCTGATGAACCCAAAATGGGATGAAAGGCACGTCCTTGACTCCACTGCTAGCCACCATGCACCTCTGTTTACAATGAGAACCTTTCAGTTCACAATTCAAAGCTATGTACAATTTCAGTTTCGTTTGTTATCACGTTTCTCTTAAACATTCCAATTGTCAACTCCTCATCAAGTATTACATTTTGTAAATTTCTTTTTTTTGTAAAATCTTTACAATATTAAATATGATATCCAAAGAACTATGGAATACGTAGTATGATTTGCATTTTAATGAATTTGGTGATTGTTGGTACAGCGGTTAAACAAATAAAATCTATCAGTTATAGTACTCACTATTAACTACTAATTTTATTTTATTACTCAGTGAGACTTTTGGGGATGTAAAAGATTGTGATATTTATGTTGAAACTCTTAATGACAAGTGAGATATCATGGTATGTGGAATTTGTAAGATCTTATTTACTAGACTAAATTGTTTTGATACTTGGTATCCAAAATCAATACACTTCAACAACAGACTGTATTTGCTGCAGCAATGCCAATAAAAGGTATTGAAGTATAAATCAAAATACAGTACAATAGTATTTTATGAATATCATGTTGTCCATGATTGATTGATTACCAGAGGTGTTAAGATAAAACTGGAACTAAATACATTCAAATTAACATTTAGAAATGATCTCAAACACTATGTCTGAATAAATTCACTCACATAATATATCGTCCTTACCAAATAAACTTGAAGAAGTTCATAATATTTTAAATCTCAATATAATGGGTCTCTAGATGTTAAATTGTAGAGTTTACAAGATTTAGTTGCTATGCATTGCAACTAAAGCAGCAAAGTCTTTTAAAAAAGCATTAATGTTACTCATCATAGCACCTTTTATGGCAAATTAATTTAGTGAAAATCAGCTCCATGATGATAGTAACAATAGTTGGTTATTAATCTGTATTTATTTAGTTACCAAAGGAAGATTAAATATCTTTTCATGAAGAATATCAGTTTACTAATTCTACAAGCTTCAGTTGATATTGGCAACGACAAGATTAAATAAAAGTTGTATGTAGAAATTGAATTTCTATTAGTGATGTTTAGATTTTATCCATGAATTTAAAAATTATGTAATACAAGCTGATTTTAATGAATATTAAACGTCCTTATAAACAAAGTCTTCATCATAACTGATTAATTCCTACGTAAGAAAACGCTTTCTAAGTGATAACGTAAGAACTTACGAGAAATAAAGAAATTCGAATAACATTCACGAAGATGGTTTGTTTCCGGCTAAGAGTTAATTAATCAATAAACGTTATAGTTCAATAAAAAACATAAAACTTTCTGATAGTAAGCTAATAGCAGTGTTCAGTTTACGGAATTTTCAGTTTAACATTACTAAGATTCAAAATATACAACTAATCTCAGCTAATCTATGGATTATATCTATCAACCAGTGTGTTTAAGTCAGTGATAATAAAAGGTAACCGTTGGAATCTATTTCTTTACTAATACTATACGTATATTTTAATTAACTAAACTATTCATATTCGTGTTCCTCTTATTATAAGCTTTATTTTAACCTATAGAATATTAATATACGATTTACAGTTCTTGAATTATGACCAGTCTACTAATTATAGTCTCCCACATTCACAGCAACATTTGGTTAAGTCGTGTACAAATGTTTTTTTACTATTTCATTGTATGATGTGGTCTGTTTGGTCTATATATAAATCCAGTATATTCTAAATACATAATTCATATCATGGAAGCTGAGATCGGTGTTCTTGATTTAACAGACAGGGTTAGGCAGAAAGAAGGATCGATAAAGACTCTAGATTGCTCGTACAGGTTTTTATACGTGATTGTTTTCTAATTGGCGGTATCATTACATCATGTATGAATGAGGCACAAAGTCACAGGTTACAGAAATTACTTCTTTTGTTCATAGACATTTGATTCATGAATTGTACAAATATTTTTATGAAATGTAACAGTATTAGAATAATGTTCTACATGAATCTAAGCTATTTATTTTAACTAGTGTTTAATTTTACAGAAGTCAAAATAGCTAAATACAAGCTAATAATTTAATAGTAATTTCAACCAACACACAAAAATCTTATTCTTTCCAACAAGAATGATCTATCATATCGATCATACAATAAGTTAGATTTGAATTGAACTATCATTATTTTAAGATTAACTAGATTGTATTAATTTAACTTATGAAGTTTAAGTTTCACCATAACACTGTTTAAAACAAAGATGGAAGTTTAGAAGTTGAACTGTTTAGCTCAAAAAAAGCAACTTGACATGTCTACTATAATCTCAGTCAGTATGTAGTGCCATTGATGAACTAATATGAAACTAAACTCTGTTATAAGCAAAGTTGGATAGTGACTATCACTGGAATCCAGGATGCGCGTTTCACCCTATCTAGGACTCGTCAGCTGGGTGTACCTGCATCTCAAAGTTGAGATTCACTCTTGGACATCAACCCAGTACTTTGCTTGTGAATTAAAGAGATATCGAGGTAATCAGCACAGGATGTACAAATACCAGTAAGTGACTGATCAATTGTAGTCTTAAGCATCAATGGGAAGATTCAAGTAACCAATAGCAAATGATGGATATGTCGGTCAATTTCGTGGATTAGTTTAAGTTAGGCATTAACACCGTCGTGTGCCGGCTCAGTGGTCTAGTGGTTAAGCGATTACGCGCGAGATTGATAGGTCTTGGGTCAGAATCACGCAAGGCGGGATCGTGGATGTGCACTTCTGAGGAGTCACACAATGGGACGAAACAGCCATCCTTTGCTTCTAGATGTTCCATGGTGGTCTAGCTTCAATTGGCTTATGATCTCAGCTATTAAAATTGCCATAATATCCACAAAAACCCCCTTCTGCCATTAATACCAAGTGAATTTAAACTCAATTATTATCCTTTTTTTAAAAAATTTATCTACGAAAATACAAACCTGAATATCTTCTCAATAACTAAATACAATATCAATGAAAATTCAATTTATATTAGAAAGAACAAACTATAGTAACATTAAATCATTGTTTAATAAATATCATCATCATCATAACCATACAATACACACCATTACTACTTTTAAACGAAAAAAAAAGTAAGCAAACAACATTACCATTTCCTTTATGTTGCTATCCCAGTATTTTATTAGTGATTAGTTGTCAAGGCACAATCCAATATGAATATTAAATAAATATGTAACATAAAATATGATTCCATATAGAATTATGCTTATTCTTCATATTCCTTATTATAAATAATTAACAAACAAGATATTATATCATGATCATTTTGTTAGTTGAATAATCAACCTTCCTCTCTTTTGTGTTTTTTTAATAGTTTCAATGTATGTTTATCATATATGTCTGTAGGTAAACAAAATAGTGATTTATTCTATCAACTATTTTTTTTCATTTATGCTCTCCATAATAAAAGAATGAAAGAAAGAAAGAAAAATTTCATAGACCAATTTTTCTTCTTTTTTTATTATTATTATTTTGATTACTTAAAGTGGATGTGTGCCAATGTGAATCAAGGAGCTCAATTATACATGCTTTCGTTGCAATATGTAAAGTACCTATTTACATATATGTACTGACAATGGTGATACCATTCTGTATATATATGTATATATATATATAGTAAAATAAGACAATGATAATCGGTATCAGTATAATAGGCAACTTTTAATTAAAGAATGTTCTAAAGATAATTCGGCCTATGCTCCATTAGGAGTAACAGACGTAAGTAGAAACCTCTAAAGATAATTGATTCATAAAAACACATTGTTGTTTGGGCGAAATTATGAGTTATGGACGAATCAATTAGATTTATGATAATAGGTTTTGAATTTTAGCTTGAAATTCACTTATTCATTTGGATAAATAGAGTTTTGGCATTATAACTGATTTCAGTTCATGATGAAAACCCTAAATCTAATTTCTAACCTTAACTATCAACTGTATATATTAATCCTAATTCTACATACTGATTTATAATCCTCATTTAGCTGTAGTGTGTAAGTGGATATTCTCAAAGTCATATTAGAGTCGGTCAAAGGTCGTCCATAAGTTATAGTCTCACACATTACTTGTATAAATATGATTTAGAAAATTTTCGAAAAAGATCGACCATTTTTTTAAAAATTCAAACACTATACTACATCTTTCTGCCATTGAATTTTAGTGAATATACAGATAGTGTCAACAGCCTGGATTTTAAAAAATGGCTTAAAATTGTTACATAGCATTTATGAGTGTATATGTATTATATAAATACATGCAGAAAGATATTAGCAACTAGGTACTTATTATTCACTTGGTATTATTTACTTGAATCTTCCCATTGATGATTAGGACTCCAATTGATCAATCCCATTTCACAAGCAAGTGTTTATCAGGACTCAGTTGCTAACTAGATAAAGCGATGGGGTTTGAATTGAACGGTACTGGGTTCGAGTGCCAGACTGAACATCAACTCTGAGATGCGAGTACATCCAGCTGACGAGTCCCATACAGGACGAAACGCGCATCCTGGATTCCATTACTAACCTTGTATTTATCTTTGTTCAGATACTTATTATGTTTAATAATGTTTTTTTATTGAAGTAATTAAACAGTATCTGAGTTTGGAAGTCTTTAAACATACAGTAGAGTGAACTGTTTGTGTTTAAATTCATTTGTCTGTTTAATTTTGCGGAAGTTGGGATTTTTAAATTATTGATTATTGCGGTGTAAATGACATTACAGTCAACGGTCAGCCTCTACGGTATCTGATGATAGAACGAGGAGCAATTACGGTTACTTGTTTATTAATGTTACAGTCAACAAGTCTAATGTTGAAGTATATCAACTTTTTCCTTCTAAAATTGGTTTACTTGAGTATACTGAAATTGTGTAAATTAGTTGTGTTTGAAAGTAATTTACATAGTTTTAATAATTCAATGAAAGTGTAAGTGAAAGACTGTAGCCAAACTTATGATGATTGATTTTTGTAAATACTCATTATCTAACACTAACCAGATGAAAATAAATAGACGTTTATTAATACCTTGGTGATGATATTTTAAACCTTATTTTAAATTCTTTATAAGCAAAGATGGATAATGACTAGTAATAGAATCCTATTTTGGACTCGTCAGTTAGATGTACTCGCATCTCACAGTTGATGTTCACTCTTGCCTTTGAACCCAACATCATTCGCTTCAAACGCTATCGCGTTATCCACTTAGCTATTGAGTCCTGATAGCCACTCGTTTGTGCAATGGTGTGAAGTTTAAATTCACTTGGTGTTGTTCGCTTGTATCTTCCAATTGTTGTTTAGGACTGAATTGATCAGGCACTTGTCGGTATCTGCTCAATAACGAGGCAATCCACACAAAATGCACATATGCCAACAATAAACTGATCTGTTGCAGTCCTAAATAAAAACGGGATGATATAAGCAAACAACATCGAGTGAATTTACTTTCAATTCGTCTGAATTATAGCTTCCTTATTACTATTCATATCAAAGATGAATTAAACTCTTCTATGGTGGAGAAGATTTGTAGCTCAGGTGGATGATTTTGGTGGAGTTTTGTTCTCTGAGCTGGATGGTTTGGCCGTGGAGCTTTCAGTGTTCTTCTGAACGACATCATCAGCACAAACTTCAGATAGAAGTGAAGTGTTTGAATTTCTCCATATGTGTCTCAAAGGTGTACAGAACAAGCTTTGAGACACATATGGAGAAATTCAAACACTTCACTTCTATCTGAAGTTTGGGCTGATGATGTCGTTCAGAAGAACACTGAAAGCTCCACGACAAAACCATCCAGCTCAGAGAACAAAACTCCACAAAGAACCCTTCTATTCACTAATAAAACTGTTAACCTGTTGGCTAAAAGTGTTTCGTTTTTTCCTATTTGTCCTGTAGTTAAATTCGCAATCTAAACGTTTCATAACAAACAATTTGTTTTGCTACTATAAATCCTATTCAAAAACTCTTCCAAATCACTAGCAAAATGTATCATCTAGTCGGATTTAGAAAATGCGAAAAGCTTTATTTTAAACAGTCAAACTAACAGTAAACGAATTCATCATACAAATTTCAATTACAGATGTATTAAGAGAAGAATAAAAAAACTAAATTAAGATTATCAGTAATAAGAAAGATTCTAACATATTGAGACTTGAAATACCCTTCACTAATGATAAATGTTAAATACAATTCAACGAGTTGTTTTCAGAGATCTCAAAAATTCGCCATTAAACAGTACGTTAACTAACTACTAGTTGAAATGTTTAACTCATTAAAACTGATTGAAGACACAGTTTGGCGAAACTATAATTTGTGGACGAACCAATCAGATTTACGATAACAGGTCTTAGATTTTGGTGCGAAATTCATTCAACCATTTGGCTAAATATAGGCTTGACATTATAACTGATGTCTGTTCGTGATGAAAACTCTAAATATAATTTCTAACCCTAACCATCAACTGTAAATCATAATCCTTATTCTTTAAACAGTTTTATAACCCTCATGTAGCCCTAGTAATTAGGTTGACACTCTCAAGGTCACTTTGACGTCGCTCAAAGGTCATCCATAAATTATAATCCCACCCACAGTTTACTTTTTGTAAGAACGACAATTTATTTTTTTCTTCACTTTCAATGAACTGGAATGATAATCATTTACTATTACAGGTCAGATATAATTTCTTATACTTTTAACAAGTTTAATTTTAATTGTCCCTTAATCAAAGATACCTAAACATTAAAACATCAAAATGATTGTGAAAATTATATTTGAAATATTCTCAGCGATTGAAATTTATCTAATTCCAACGTTTCGTCCAGCTAACTTGTCTGGACGAAACGTTGGAATTAGATAAATTTCAATCGCTGAGAATATTTCAAATATAATTTTCACATATAATGACTTCTCTTTACTTGGTGCCCAATTTCTGTCAAACTATTCGTTCTAATCTTGACAAATATTCGTATAAATCAGAATGATTACTTACGTGAATCCAAATTATAATTTTCAAAAAAAACCCACTAAATTGACCAAATCTTAGTTAACTTGATAACTTTAAGTAATGTACTTCGAACAATCATACAATATGAATACTCTAACTATAAACAGAATACAATGTAAAAGAGAATAAAGTAAATAAACGATGATGATTATGTTACATTCTATCTATCTGTCTAGTTTTCTTTATCCAAAGTAAGAATACATCTATCAGAATAGAATAGAAAAACACTTTATATACAACATAAATCGATATTCTTGTAAGACACCTCTGTTTACCTTTTATTAAACTAAACAAGATGAAACAAGTTTGATATTAATAATAAATAAATAAATAAACAAGAATGGAAAGAAAATAAAACCTTTTAAAGGTTGATATAATACAAACATACTCATATATATAACCATACATATATACCATATATGATTGTATATTATTCAGTTGGAGTAATGGTAACACCATCACCAACAACAACAAAGTGTCGAAGTAACTATATCATGTCATTATAATGTAAAACGATGTACAGAATGTATAAACTATGTTAACTTATCATAATTAGTTTTAAGTATACAATGAAAGTAGTTTGTTTTGAATATGATCAATCACATATTTAATGCAGTTTTTATTTATAATTATAATGCTTGAAAATAAAATTGATTAAAAATGTTTTATACAAATTACATAAATGAGTTCTTTGTTTACTTGAATCTTTCCATTAGTGTTTAGGATAGCAATTGATCAGTCTATTATTGACATATATGCGTATTGCCTCGATATTGCCTTAAGTCATAAGCTTTATAAGTAAAGATGAATGGTGGCTAGCAATGGAATCCAGGACACGTGTTTTGTCCTATTTGGGACTCGTCAGCAATGGGAAAATATACAAGCAAACAACACCGAATCAATTTAAGCTTCACACCATTGCACAAGCAGGTGGCTAACGTGATGGAGTTTGAAGTGAATGGTAACTGGATTCGAGTCTCAGAGTGAACATCAAATCTGTGATGCAGGTACATTCAACTGACGAGTAACAAATAGGAAGAAAGGTGCGTCCTGGATTCCATTACTAGTTACTATCGATCTTTACTTAAAAAGAATCTGGTTGATTTGCAAAATAATGTTTTAATATGTGAAATAAACAAAATGAAAGTTATTAAACTTATATGGATCAATGTTAGCAAAAGTAGGAACCCAGATTTAAACTAATTAGTCGTCTTCAAACTTATGTTGGAGTATATTAGAATGACTAACAATAAAATGGTTACCTGTCATTGATATATTAATACACTTTATATTACTGATAAATTAAAATAGATTATGTTGTATAGTATTTTTAAAATAGTTGCCGATATATTGTTATATCCCGACGAGAATTATGTATGGTAACTTTTGAGAATTATTTATGGAACAATACGACACATATTTTTATTGTACAGTTATTAAGTAGATAAAATATGTATATTTATATTCCTCTTATTATAAGCCTTATTTTAACCCATAAAATA